TTTTAACAAAACATAATTTAGTTTATTTCTTTGTTTATGAGAACTTTTGTTAATCATCTTTTCAATTACACTGATCAACAGCCAAAAAATATCCTAAATAAAATCAACAAAATATTACTATTTTTAATGTGCTAAAACCGGAATGAAACTTTTTTCAATATTAGTTCAAGTTTTAGAGATACGGTAATTATATGTGTTCCTGCTGTGACAGTGTTAATATACTGTAATTCACAAGAATGCACGTGCTACATTTTTATATTCGGCAAGATGATGTAATCGGCATGATTGTGATACGTTATACATACGTGTACATTATATTGTTTTATATTAGCAATTTTTTCCTCAGTTGGCTGACAGCGTTCATGCAAGATGTCTCGAATGTGTGTAAACAATCCAGATCAGTTTTGTTACGTGTGTGGTGATGTGACTTTTGCGTCTCAGATACAGTCTATTACTCCACTAATAACAAAGGCATATCAGCTTTATTTCGGTTGTAAACTAGGTGATCAAGACAAACAGTGGGCACCCCCCATCTGCTGTAATACATGTGCTTCAAGTCTGAGGAGCTGGTTAAATGGCAAAAAACGGTCTATGCGCTTTGCTGTCCCAATGGTTTGGAGAGAGCCTACAAATCATATTAATGATTGTTACTTTTGCATGGTACCTTGTGTTGGACAAGCCACAGGTATGTCCAAGAAAAAAAAATCAGTTATTAACTACCCAAACATACCATCTGCGATGAGACCTGTGCCTCACAGTGACGAAAATCCTATTCCAAAACCCCCAGAATCCTACATTTGCGAATCAGAAAACGAATCAGATCATGGCGATTGAGTGATTCGCCAGGAAGAAGATATGCCATCAACGTCAAGAGATCCTGATTTTATACCGAGCACGTCATGCCACCAACCGCACAAAATAACACAGTCAGAATTAAATGATCTTGTAAGAGATTTAGAACTTCCAAAATGTAAGGCAGAGTTACTTGGATCAAGACTGCAGCAGTGGAACTTGTTAGAAGACGATGTTTCGGTATGTGTTTTTCATAAACGCCACAAAGACTTAGAACCACTTTTCAATATGGAGAACAACTTGGTTTTCTGCTGTAACCTTAACGGCTTACTGGCGGCTTTAAATATAAACTATAACCCAGAAGAATGGAGATTGTAGACAGTTCAACATTGAGTTTAAAGGCAGTGTTATTGCATATTGGAAATATTTTACCATCTCTTCCTGTAGGGTATGCAGTTCACATGAAAGAATCATATGACAATATGAAGTACCTATTGACATGCATAAAATTCGATGAGCACCAATGGCATATTTGTGGCGATTTGAAAGTTTTTTGCTCTTTCACTTGAGCTGCAGCTAGGCTACACAAAGTTTTGCTGTTTTTTGTGTGAATGGGACAGTCGGGCAAAGGCACTTCATTACACCAGACAAAACTGGCCTGTTCGTCAATTCCTAGAGCCAGGTCAAAAAAATGTACAGCATATGCCATTAGTAGATTCGAAAAAAAATTTATTACCACCACTGCATATCAAGTTGGGCCTAATGAAACACTTTGTCAAGGCATTAGATAGAGATGGGTCAGCTTTTCAATACCTGCGTCAGAAATTTTTAAGACTAAGTGAGGCAAAGGTTAAAGAAGGTATTTTTGTTGGGTCACAGATTCGAAATATTTTGAAAGATACACAGTTTGAAAACACTTTAACAAGTATTGACAAAACTGCTTGGAATGATTTCCGTCTGGTGGTCACTAATTTCTTGGGAAATAGAAAAGCTGACAACTATAAAACCCTTGTCAAAAATATGCTGTCATCGTATCAAAAGCTTGGGCTGTAATATGTCTCTTAAGATACATTTCCTACACTCACACCTGGACTTTTTTCCTGACAATTGCGGAGCCGTAAGTGATGAGCACGGCGAACGTTTCAATCAGGATATTTCAACAATTGAAAAAAGGTACCAGGGAAAGTGGAATCCTTCCATGCTTGCAGACTACTGTTGGACTCTTGGTAGAGATGCTCCAGAAACGATCCATAAAAGAACAGCAAAAAGGCAGCGCATATAGTGATTCTTATAAGTATATCAATCTTGTTACTTTTTTTAATATATCCTTAAAAATAAAAAGTTTTTTTTTTCTAAACCGCAACTAATTTTTTTACTTCATTGTCATTTTTGGATTCAGCTCCCCAAAATTAACAAAGAAGTGCACTTTTCCCACAAGATACAATTAAAGAACTAAAATTTGTTGTCCAGTGTTATTAGCGTTTTTGTGTTTTGTTAGTAGTTAATGAATAAAATACTTATTAGGTATATTCATATGTCCTATATTCTGTAATAAATCATATCAAGTCAAATATTTTTTTAATAAAAGGGGCCGCCTAAGACTATTTAAACAGACTCAATTTTGTGCCCAACCAAATGTGAGAGAAAATCTCACACGCGACCGATGGCAAAAAAAGCATCTAGCGAACTACATAATCCCGGGTTAACTTGCTTAGCAACTATCAAATTAATAAACAAGACTCTCAGCTTCAAGTAGGAGCGCCAATACGCCAGAATCCGTTTAAACATAATGATGAAGGAAAAATATGTCATTAGTGTAAAAAACCTGGTCATATCAGCCGGAATTGTTTTAAATCGCTTAAGTTATCTAAATACGATAATACTAATTAGGCGAGAAGCTCAAATAATCTGCCAGGTATTGCGAAACCCTGTGAGATCTGTAAAACATTCGGGCATAGTTCTAAGAAATGCTTCTTCAAAAATCAAAATAAAGAAGGGAGTTTGTCCAAATTCTCCCAAATAAACTATTTCTGCGTAGACCTAGATAACGATTTTTGCATAAAATTCAAAATACAAAATTTGACCGTAAACTGTTTGATCGACACGTGTGTAGAATGTATTTCCGAAACCGTCATTTCGAACCAACTTTTATAATGTTAACAGGTATAGGAGGCAGCTCAATACCAAGTGTCAAAGGACTAATTTACTAGTTGAGAGAGGGGGGACGGCATTTGAAATTAGTTTTTATGTTGTCGAAACTTCTGTTATGGAGTTAGATGCAATTTTGGATAGAGATTCATTTAATCATAAAGGAATCAAAATTTGCACTGACTCATGTGGGTCTAGAATTTATCTCGAAGACACAAATAAAATAGAATCTAAAAAGATTCAAAACGTAACAATTTCTCCCGAGAAAATTCAAACACCACTGAATGGACATGATTTCGACGCTTTGTTGAAATTGTTATCAAAATATAGCGATTCTATAACTGTTGGTAATTCCGTGCGGGCAGTAACAACCGGTGAAATGGAAATCAAATTAAAAAACGAGAAAATAATTTGTTATAACACTTACCGACTGTCATTGTCCAAACGAGAAAAGGTGAAAGATATTATTAGATGACCTCTTACAAAACAATATCATACGTGAAAACCTTTTGCTAGCCCAGTTATTCTGGTGCACAAAAAAGATGGCAGCCGACGTTTATGCGTAGACTATCGCGCCCTTAATGAAATAACCATTTAAGATCGGTTTCCACTGCCATGTATAGACGACCAAGTTGATCAGCTGGGGGGAAGCAAGTATTTTACGACTCTCGATATGGCAGCGGGGTTTCATCAAATTCCTATAGCTGAAAACTCTATTTCCAAAACGGCTTTTGTCACGCCTGACGGGCATTTTGGATACCTGCGTTCGCCATTTGGTCTATCGATATTCCCCTGCAGTATTTCAACGGGCGATTTGTAAAGCTCTGGGTAAGCACAAAGATACCGATGCGCTGGTTTATATGGACGACGTAATCATTCCATCAAAAACCATCCAGACAGGTTTGGAAAAACTCGATCGGCTCCTAGCGTCCCTTACCTCAGCGGGCTTCAGCTTAAACATTAACAAATGCAATTTTTAAAAAAAGAAATTATTTATCTTCGTCAAGAAATTTCCAAAGATGGCGTGAGGCCTGACGAAGGAAAATTAAAAGCTTTATTCAATGCGCCTGACCCAAAAAATGTAAAACAGGTCCGCCAATTTATGGGCCTAGCCGGATACTTTCGAAAGTACATCCCTGAATTTTCAACGCGCACAGCTTGTATTACAAACCTAACAAAAAAAGGAGTCGATTTTGTGTGGGGAACCGAACAAGAAGTTGCCAAAAACTATGTTTGTGCCTTTCTGTCTCAACGGCCTCTCCTAACGATTTTTGACCCGACTTTAGACACGGAGCTTCATACAGAAGCGAGCTCCTTGGGGTTCGGGGCTATACTCTTCCAAAAAGTAGATAATAGACTAAAAGTCATCTCTTATTTTTCAAAACGTGCTACAAAGGAAGAAAGTAACTACCACTCATACGAGCTTGAGACTCTAGCCGTCTATTATGCAGTAAAACATTATCGCGTTTACTTATATGGAACCATATTTTAACTTATCACTGATTACAATTCGCTAAAATTGACTCAGAAAAAAAAAGATTTATTGCTCAGTGCGCGTCATAAGTTATATGATACTCGAGTCGTGTAGACGTGTTTTTGGTCTGTCTGTAAAAAGTGTATATGTCAACGGTTATCATGTGATTATTGGAGTGAAACTGATATTGCTATTTAGCTTGTGGAAAATTCTCCAGGACAATAAAATCTGCTTAAGTTTGGTTGGTGTATTGGAGGGTTTTGCTATCAGAACACAAAAACTACATTCCTGGGTACGATCTTTCTTACGAGATGTTTTTTTTTTGTCATGTTCTTTGGAAATAATTTATCGCAATTAATAGTCTGAGGAAATTAGATCCACTAGTAAATATGGCATCTAATGCAGACTCCTGTGATTCCTGTAAAGACAACTTTGTAGTCAACTCAAAATACATTGAATGCAGTATATGTGAAGGCAGATATCATACAGTTTGCGTTTCGGTGAAGGACTCTTGGTTGTAGCTCTTTTCTGATTGGGTTAATTTTTCATGGAGTTGTGATGAATGTATTCTCAAATCCCAGTCACGTGAACAGCAACTGGCTTCTGAAATTGCAGCATTGAAAAAAGAGATCGAATTTTTAACACATGAGAAGAACGTGAGCTCTAAGATGATAGAGCAACTAGAATACACAAACAATCTCCAAAAATCAGTCATTGATTCGCATCAGCAACAAGCAGCTCATTCCACCATGAATCCAGTTATGCTACCTTCGAGATCAACTGCTTCCTCAACGCTAAGCTTTAGCGAAGCAGTCGAAAAAATACCGAACAGGTCTTCTGTCTTGCTAATCAAGTCTGACAGTAACTCTGGCAATAACGATATTCTGCGGGATGTAACAACTTCAGTAAATCCTGCTAAAATTAATGTTTGCATTAATAACACGCACAAAATAAGAAATGGAATTGCAGTTCACTGTCAAGATGAGAAGTCACTTACGGTTCTCAAGAATAGTTTGGATAAGGAGCTTGGGTCCAAATATTCAATCATGGAAGCTAGAAAACATAATCCACGTCTCCTAATCAAAAACGTTAACCTCGACAGTCTGGATTCGCCCGAATCGATAATCAATAATATTGTAGCCTTAAACAATATTGATGACACGCATCAGTCTGACATAAAATTCGTTACCAAGCATTACGAGAGCACAAATATCGTCATAGAAGTATCTTCTGACCTTAGGAATATCTTGTTAGAGAAAAGTTTCCTGTTCATCGGATGGAAGAAATCGCCTGTAAGTGATCATATACGTGTGTTGAAGTGTTCTATGTGTTGTGGTTATGGTCATACCGATATAAGCTGCAAATCTGAAGTTGTATGTCCAAAATGCTCCCAAAATCATAAAGCTAAAGATTGTAAATCATCTGTTTTACAATGCATAAATTGTCTTAATGTTAACAAAACCAGTCAGAAAGGTCTACCAACTGATCACGCGTCTTACTCTAGCTGTTGTGCTGTTTTTAAAAGCCATTTTGATAATTTGAGAAGTAGAATTAACTATGGCTGACATTATTAAATTTGTTCACTCTAATACCAGATCAATTCTTCCTTCAATGGCGGACCTTTCTTTCATGGTTAATGATATGGATCTCGATGTAGTGGCTGTTACAGAAACATGGATGTCTTCAGATATTCCAACAAGTTCAGTAGATATTTCTGGTTATAACTTCCATCGTCGTGATCGTGGTAGTCGCGTAGGTGGGGTTGGCTGTTATGTCAAAAATCGTTTTTCATCAGAAATTCTATCGTTTGAGGAATATGATAGTACTTCTCTAGAAATGCTTTGGCTCAAGGTTCGTATTGGCCCTAAATGTATTGTAGTTGGTGTTATTTATAGACCGCCTCGGGGAAGTTTGGATGTTGCAATAAGTATATTAGATAATACGTTGTCCATCTTAGCACCGTCTAATGAATGCATCTTGGTACTTGGTGACCTCAACGTTAATTTCTTTATTGATAGTAAGATTAATCAGTGCTTTCAACCTTACAGCCTGCACCAGTTAATGAATGAACCAACTCGAATAATTGATCATTTTTCAACGCTTTTAGATCCGGTTTTCTTCAACTGTGCACAAAGATGTTCCAAAGTGGGAACTTTCACTGTTAACTTTAGTGACCATCAGGCTGTATTCTGTCACATTTCGTGTAAAAACAATAAACCACCACCTAGACTAATTACATTTAGAGACTATCGCAATTTTGATCTAACCTCTTTTGACGATGACTTATATACCGTTAATTGGGCTGTAGGAATATACATTTTGCACTTAATAAATTGTTGTTTAGAGCGCGGTGTTTTTTCAAGTGCTTGGAAGGAAGCATTAGTGCAACCTCTTCCAAAGATTCCCAATCCCCAGGTTCCAGGTGATCTCCGACCTATTAGCTTGTTGTCAGCTCTATCAAAAATTCTAGAAAAAATAGTTTACATGCAGTTGAATGAGTATTTACTGGAACGCAGCATTTTGCCACTAAATCAATCAGGCTTTAGAAAGGGTCACAGTACCACTACCGCTTTGGCACGGGTTTGTGACGATGTACTAACAGCGGCGGATAGGCAAGAAGCAACTGCATTAGTCTTATTGGATTTCAGCAAGGCTTTTGACACCCTGAATCTTAAGCTGTTAGTTTCTAAATGTAAATACATTGGGTGTGACGACTTGGTTCTGGAATGGATAGATTGTTCTTTAAATGAACGACATCAATATGTCGTCATACAAAATAAACTTCCAGACAAGAGGCCGATTTGTTCCGGCGTGCCTCAGGGATCCATATTAGGTCCACTTTTATTCCTTATATACACCTTTGACATTTCTAACACCCTTCAACATTGTTCTAGTTCATATGCTGATGATATGCAGGTTTTTCATAATTTCTGTCCGAACAACTACCATTTAGCTAACAACCTTATCAATCAAGATCTGCAATACTTATGCACATTGCTGCAAAACATAATTTACGTCTAAACGCATCGAAATCGGCAGCTATACTTTTTTGCTCCAAGAAAAAACGTACTTTCCTCAAATCAAAGTTAAATTTATCACTTAATAATAGTATCCTAATATTTTCCCATTTTTCAAAAAATTTAGGTTTGTACTTGGATGAAGATTTCAGATTTCAGGAGCATGTTGGCTATGTGTGTGAGTCTAGTTATTTTAGACTCAGGCTTCTATATGCAAGTAAAACTGTTTTAGATAGAAAAATTAAGAAAATGTTATGCGAGTCACTCATACTCAGTAAAATCGCTTACTGCAACATGGTTTATTATCCCTGTCTGGATGAAATCACAAAATACAGACTGCAAAAAATTCAAAACTCATGTAGTCGTTACATAAACAATTTAAGAAGTTACGATAATGTTTCTCACTTAATATCTTCAATGAATTGGTTGAACATTTCTGATCTCTTCAAATACAACTTTGTTACATTTGTCGTAAAAATATTAAAAACTTTTGTTCCGGTTTATCTTATGCAAAAGCTTGTTCGTAGGAATTTAATTCACAATTTGAATACGCGCAACATTAATCTCCTGACAATGCCACAACATAGGACAGCCATTTATCAACGATCTTTTCGAACAATGTTTCATCAGCAACTTCTCTAAAAAAAATATAAGAACTACTTATTGAGCTCTTAGGTTATTGTCTTCTCTTTGAATCGTACGTATTATGTTTTTTGTGCTAATCGTACGCATTATATCATATTTATTAATTCTTCTTTTACTATTATTCTTCTTTTTCCTTTTCTTTTTCAGTTTTTTATTTTATTTTTAAGGTAGTAATAAGCATTGACATGACATTTATGGCCATTGGCCAGACTTCGCCATTTGTAAGGATACATAACTATGTATGTGTTACAATAAAGTCCATTGAATTGAATTGTACTGAATATCGGAATGGCAAATATATTCCACACGTTGATTATTTTAGCCGAAACCCACCGCAACCATCTGAAGAAATCGATTGCGTCGCCCCCGTGAATGTCCTTACAACTGATAACTGGCTTAAAATTAACCAAAAGCGCGATCCTGAAACTCGCGATATCAAATGAAAATTACTCAAAGGTCAGCTAACTCACGTCTGCTTCTGTCACAACGAAGTTCTATTTCGAAAATTTAACCCGGGCAACCCACCAATTTACAGGGCTCTCGTTCCCAAGCGACGTAGACTGGGTTTGTTAAAAATTTTTCACGGCGAACAGTCGCACGCTGGACCAGATAAGACCTTCGCAAAGCTAAACCATTATTTCACTTTAACATCAGAGGGTTACAAACATGTCCTTCTTTTGATAGACGCACTCACAAAATATTTATTCTTAATTCCATTAAAAACTCTTTCTGGTCCTGAGACTTGTAAAAACCTAGAAATTTACTTAAATATATTTGGGAATACTAAACGGTTGATAAGTGATAGGGGAACTAATTTTACCGACCAACAAGTAAAAGAGTTACTCTCAAAATAAAACATTACCCAACATCTAATTGCCAAAAGTGCCCATGCGGAAATGGGCAGGTAGAGCGATACGTTTCAACAGTTCTAGACCTGCTCAGAATAAATGTCAATAATAATAAGTCAGAATGGGCCAGCGTTCTTCCCAAGTTACAGTTAATACTACTATCCAAAAAACATGGGATTTTCCGCACTGTATTTGTTAACAGGGCAACTTATAGATACCATGGATATTCAGAATTTAACAGAGAAACAGAGAGTATAAAACCAGTGACGACTACTGATCAAAATTTAATTAATGATGGTAAAACTGCCTAAGAACGCTCTATGCGTTGCTGTTTAGAGTCAAAAGACAGATTTGATAAAAGCCGAAAAACAAGTAACAGTTTTAAAGTAGGAGACATAGTTTTCCATCCGTCTGGAAATTCGCACCTAGCTAAACTAGATCCTAGATACGAAGGTCCATTCGAAATCTTACAGTTGTTGCCTAATGACCGAGTAGAAATTAAAAATTTGGCTACCAATCGCAAAAGAATTGTTGCTAATATGATGCGGGTATGGCCAGGTGAATTTGAATAAGAAAACATTTAATAACCATTGTTATTTGTTTAGCCCTTTTTGTACTTTCTTTTGTTGGTATTATAAGAATTTTGTATGTTATATTTAGGGATATGAATAGTGATTATGGTTTACATTGTTGTTATTATAAAGTATTTGATAGGCTATAACCGTCTAAGCCTTGATATTACTAAAACCTGACAAAATAGATTAGTAAAAAAAAGTGCTCTTTGCATCAAGGTAATGAGACCTTGACTGCTGAAATGACGTGCTCTCTACCTTGCTGGATAATAAAATCTTGCTACTTGCTAATGGTGAATGATGTATCGTTAAAAGCTGAAAGACGTGCTCTTTGCATTTAGATCGTGAGGGCCTAAACGTTGAAATGACGTGCTCTTTGCTACATTATATAGTCTAAATGGTATTTTTGTAATATGGGTCAGGAGGTAAAATTCGAGAACGAATTTAGTGTCAGGATTGGCCGTGTGAGCCTTTCGCTAAATCGCTACGCTACGCCAATGAAAATGCTCTGTTTACTTCTGGCGACCGTGAATATTCCGATGTGCTTCGATGTGTTTTTTGGGCAAGGTAGTTAGTCGTAGTCAGTCTTGTAACAGATGCTGGAGTGAATACATGCGTTGTAAGTTATGAAGTGTTTGATTTTCCCCACGAAGAGAATAATTTTCTCACATGCACATGACAGGTTACGAAACAGCCGAAGTACTATTTTCATATAGAAATTAGGTACGTCTATAGTAGACTAGCGTCATAGTTTGCCTGTGATAGCAGATACCGCCTGGCTGGTGATAACTATGCAACAGGACTGTACGTATGAACATGACCGGTTAGGAAACCACCAAAGTTCTAATGTAGTATAATTAATGTTCGCGCGTTGTTCCAAGGCTGACATTTCGAGGGCAGATCTTGTTGATGACGATAGATGAATAAATTCTGTTCTATTCTAGGCACCTAAGGTGAACCCTGAGATAACGGAAGCCATAATAGAAATTTTCGCTCGCAGGGATGCGTGCTTGGACTGTGTACAGCAACATGTGAGTTGTTCATTAACTGCAAGTGGCAATACTCTATTCTCTAGGTTCAAAGAAGGGAGAGGAGCGCATGCTGGCAGATATTCACATTAAAGCAAAGAACTCAAGAGTACTCTGACAGGTCTGACCAAGTAAGTCAATTCTAAATAGAAGTAAGATAAATATGAGCAGCAACTGAAAGCCAAAAGGCCAGACAAGGTACTGACGACATCAGATATCACAGATTATTGCAGATGAGGTATCTAGATCAGCAGGAATATTGATGCGTATTCACCATCAATGGCAGAGCTTTAGGAGTGACGCTAAAGTCCTGAGTTGGACTTTGCCATAGCTGAATCTCATTAGTCCATCTTATTGTGGGGGGTGGGGGACGAAGGAGATCGACGCGGATCAGCCGCCAACTGGTTTACGATTTGCGCATATCTGTTAGGTTTCTTCGGGTATTTATCATTACTGTACTGGAACGATCAGGAGCATGCGCAGAAGAAACGGACGTGTTCGGGTTTCTGCTGGATTACTATCGGACCATTTTAGAACTGAAATTTGGTGCTCGCATTATGTTCTGGTTCAGTTCTAGGATGGTTCGAGAATCGTTCAAGCAGTTCTTGCTTTACTACCGGGACTATTTTTGAACTGATTTTTCACATGCGTATTTCTTCTGCCAATGTCATTGGAATTAATTGACGGGTGTTGCTTCAAATACTGTTTACTTTTTTGCGCTTTGAGGCGTGACTTATTTGAAATTTAAACAAAAGTGCACAAATGGATCCAATGCAGATCAGTTTGGATTCTGATTCGTCATCATCATCGTCGTTTGACATGATGAACTTGAAGCAGTTACACTCAGCGTACAAAACTTTTGTGAAAACTTTGTAGGAAAGAAGTGTGGTTATAGTTACTAACAAATGTCCTCTTCTCTTATCTTCTTTGTTCCATGGTCATGGGTTCAGGCTGTTCGGGTTTTGGCAAAACTCTGATAGTTCACGGACTGGTCATAACTGCTCGAGAGATCTTCCCCTTTACACATTTGGTCTTGCGCAGTTCCAGAACCGTTTTGTGACAGGACTGAATTTAGAACTCGAAAATAGCTATTATGTGCTGTAAAAAGTACTACTACTATGCAATCGCCGTGACTACTCCCAGGTAGTGGCGTCAGAGAGTCCAGCTATATATGGAGTTTCGTAGTCCCACAGTGTCAAATTTTCGACCTGTTGAATTGTCTGTAGAAATTGTAAATAATGAAGAAATTACAAACTTCAGTTTGAAACGATATATATTTCCTGAAAAAACTGCCGTATTCTATGTATGAGAATCCCACGAAAAGAGAGGTCGGCTACCTTATATGTTACATCCTAGGACTACGACAAGTCTAAACACTTGCATTCAGATGCGCTATGTCTAATATTACACAATTTACTGGGGAAGTGACGTTTTACGAAAGAAAGGGGGAAAGTTAAAGGAAAGACAAAAAGACCTGTGGACAAAAGTCAAGCTTAAGCTACATGCACTACAAAGCGATTAATCAGACACTACATGAGTGCCTCAAGCATAAGCTAAAGGCAGCAATAAAAAGGTAAGCTACCTACCGTAGTGTGAAGTGCTTTAAAGTAGAGGAAAGTCTTCCAATCTTAGTGATCCCACAATACTAGTGGTGCGAACGCCTACCGCAATTGAAACTGGGAGGATTTTCTTTTTATTTAGCGCTTTTTCGGAACCAAATCCGCACTTATGGAACAGACCCTCTGTTCGATACCGAAAAATTGCAATGGTGATATTTTTTTCTTTACTTGTTGCGCACGTCTCGCGCCTGACATTTCCTCGCCAGTTGGCATGCTATGATTTTCACCTTTGACAGTGAGAGCTGACTTGATACCTGACAAAATTCATTGCTACAAAGGTTATAAAATTATAAACCATGACTAGTTTTGCTTTCGGGGCACTAATTTATAGAAGGGAACAATTAATTTGACTACAATAGTGTGAGTTAAGTATCTGCTACTTATTTAGTTTTGTTTTAGGTTCACTAGGGCAGGCTAACCAGCTGAAATCCAGCAAATACTGTATACACTGAATGCAAAATGCTGAATGCACTGTACAATATCAATAACTAAATCAATAAAACATTCTCAAATTAGTGGTTTGCTGCAGGAGCTCGTCTATATCAGCAAATCTGTTAGATTAGTTGTCCCTGCTTTGATTTGAGATAACGGACACAGGTAACAACAGTACAAACCTTTTTTTTCTGGGAACTGTTTCTCTTTACGAAGAAAAATAACTTATATAACACTTGTACAAAATTAGTACAATTTCTGGCTGCACTAGAGGTAATAAGTTTTGAATTTGTAACAATCTACCGTCCTTCGATAGTCTCTCAATTGCTTAGCTACGGTGCTATCAGTAAAAAGGTTGAGTTAACTAAAAATCAGCACCTATCCAACTTTTTCTTGCCCCCAAGTCTGATGGGTCAACACGTTTGATTCCTTACCTCAAGACACTTTGTTTATAGGGGTAGAAGACTTAAGTATACGCTATTGAACTGGGATCAGACTTCTCGTTATAGATACTTTCTTAATGAATCTGGATTTGAAATACGCAGAGATTTTGGTACCCGTTAGGGAAGAGTCATAGAATACATTTCAGATTCATATTCAAAGGACAGCTCTTCCAATACAATGCTGTACCGTTTAAGGTAAATGGGTCCCACATGTGGTCACAAAGTTAATAAAACCTTTTCTGGAATACCTTAAGAAAAAATTGGGCACTTTTAGGCTCAGTATTAAATTGTAACAAAAAGAAAGTATCTTTACTTGAGCGGACGATGCAGACATTACTAAACCTAGTAAGGGCAATAATGGATAGCAACCAAGACAGAGTCCGAAACTTTGCGGTAAACATCGGGATCTTGGTGTCAGCTTGTCTTTCATTTCTATGCCACTAACATAATATAACTTAGAGCCGGTCGCAACGCAAATATTTTGACGCATAGCCGGCCACACAGGCGCTGCGCCATCACAGCGTTACTGTGACGCAGTCTTAACGTTCCGTCGGCGCAGCGACGACGCACAGGTGCGGCAAGCATTTTGTAAAAATATCGCAGTCAGTCTATAGGAAAGCATGGATCGGAAAAGACGTCTAGCATTGCTCCTATTACTGCGTCACCGCCGAAATCGACGCAAGATCACAAGACGGTATTGGGTCTGTCCTTTCATTGCATTAAGAAATAGTGATGGACAGTTTTTTTTGTTAGAATATCGGGAGCTGCTATTAGACGAAAAGAAGTTTTATAACTTTTTTAGAATGAGTGTATCCAGCTTCGAATGTTTATTGAAGTCCGTAGAACCACACATACGAAAAAACTATACTAATATGAGGAATCCAGTGGAACCAGTAGAAATGCTGGGAATTACTTTAAGGTAATAATTTATATAAGTAATTAAAAGATAACAGTTTTTGTAATTTGTTTAATTAGTAATCAACTCAAGTTTACAGATTATTTAACAAATTACAAAAATCGTATTCGGTTTCTTCACTTGCTTGAGATGTTTGATCTGGAGATGTAATTGAATTATTATTATCAGAATTGAATGTACTTTGAAAATTGCTTGTTTGATACCCATATGATAATGGTTTTTGAGACGTTGATGGGCCACTCACATATGATGATGTTTGTCCATACCGCATTTCGTCTATCATTTGTATTACTTGACTTTGGAAACGGAGAGTTTGTCGGTCGGAAAAATCTTGAATTGATGGCAATATACCTCTGAAAAAGGACATATGGCGATTATCCGGCTCCTTGAGAAGTTTTAGCCCTTCTCTTTCAAACTCATCCATTTGCATTGCCCTTTTGCGCGCGACTGGAACATAGCGCGGAGAGTCGTCTGTGGTAATATCATCATTTGTAGACGTAGATTCATTGTTGATTTCTCTAGGCGAGTCTAAGCTAGATTCGGTGGCATTTTGTTCCACTCTTCTCAAAAAAAGAAGTTGATTATATAAATGATACTTTTTCAGTTTCGTAGCGCCCGAGCCCGATTTTGATGCTTCTTTTAATTTTTTTGAATATCTGAAGTAATTATCTTTTACACTTCTCCATTTCGTCATTAAATCATTACCTGCAAAACCAATAGTAAACATGATTAATTTAATAAGTTATACATCGTGAATTACTCGATAAAATTTAATGACATATTCAGATATCGATAACAAACACTATGTGACCAACTCTGGAATCGTGAAAATATAACAGCTGTTACATACAAAAATCAATACCTACTGAATCAAAATGTATGCAAGAGCTGTTATTTTTTTCGTGATTGCAGAATTAATTGGTCACGTAGAGAAAGTTGTTTGTTATCGATGTCTGAATATGTCAGTATTTTTTTTTCGGGTATCTATCTATCTCATAAATACATATTAAAATAATTATTTTCGTTTCAGATACCTAGGAAGTGGAAATTCAATAACCGATTTACATTTGAAATTCAAACGGGGAAAATCTACGATTGCATATATGATACAAAGAGTTTGTCGTGCTATCTGGACCAATCTTCTTCGAGACAACATCCCTGAACTGACAATTGAAAGTTTCCAAACAATAGCGAGCGATTTTGATGTAAAGGCAAATTTTCCTCACTGTGTTGGTGCCATCGACGGCAAACACATCCGTGTGTGTAATCCTGCACATAGTGGCTCACTTTTTTATAATTATAAAGCCTTTTTTTCGATTGTGTTGCTAGCTATTGTGGACTCAAATTACAAATTCGTTTTTGTCGACATCGGTGCATACGGAAAAGAATGCGATTCAACCATATTACTAAATTCTAAACTGTACGAGCTAATGATTAACAACAACTTACCACTACCTCAACCCCAGCCACTCTCTGATAGCAATATACCAACCCCGTATGTATTTGTGGGTGACGAAGCTTTTGGACTGAGCAAACATATTATGCGTCCATATGGTGGTAAAAATCTTGACTTACAACAAAAGGTTTTCAATTATCGTCTAAGCAGGGCCAGAAGATATGTCGAATGCGCTTTTGGGATTATGGCAAACAAATGGCGCATTTTTCACAGACCGATAGACGTGTCCTATGACTTCGCTACTGACATAATGAAAGCATGTTGTGTACTACACAATTTTGTCGCTGATCGAGATGGTTTTAGACAAAGAGATACATTTGCTATAAGTGTTGATGAATTTCTCCCAATACAACCCGCAGATGAAGAACAGACAGCACCGAATGTCATAAGACAGCATTTTGCGACCTATTTTATGACTAGAGGAACTCTGCCTTGGCAACTAAAGAAGGTATAATAGTATTAAATAAAAAAAAACAATAAATATCTGTACTGTGAACTCACCAACTTTGTTTTTTCGTTCAGCTGTGAAATTCTCGTAATCAGGAAATAAAACTTTTGACATTTCTTCCCAGGCTTTTGTTTTTAAATTTTTATTTTTAAAATCTACGTTTGACTTGTCCCATATAATTTCCCTTTCCTGAATCAATGTAATGAAGTAATCCATGTCAATTTCTTCAATGGAATTCATTTTATCCTGCTTATAAAACTGAATACAAAAACGTAACGTACTTAAAATGAAATGAGCTTGCGTGTATCCTCTCTGTCAACGCACAAGCAACTGAGCGCTGCCGTTCCGACGTCGCACGATTACACCCCCTCCCGCTTCGTCTCGGGGGCTGCTGTCCGTCAGGTGTGCGTTGCGACGACGCAGCGCGCCGTGTGAACACCTTGGTTATTGGCATTGGCAAGGACAGCGCTACGCAACGCGCCGTGTGGACCGGCTCTTAAGGTCCAGATGCGCTCAGAGGTATTGAATTATTCAATTTTTTGTTGTATAATTTTTCGGACTAGGACATTCGTTGGCCAGGAAAAGTCTCATAGTTTTTGATCACCCGAGAAGAAGATCCCGCATGCTAATCATCAAGAACCACTGGTAGTTTTCTTCTGTGGTGAATGCTTTACTCCCGAATCAATGGGCTGTCGCACGTTATACCCCATCCCACATCGATAGAATGGAGAGCTTCTAGTTTCCGCGTCTGAATGAGGTTGCGGGAAAACTATGGCAGTTGTGTAAAGAGAGAAATCTTACTGCTCTCGTGTCTAATATAAAATCTAGGAGTAATACTGGTACAGATGAGCTTTTGCGTCAGTGGGATGCGGAAACGAAGTGGGAACTACACCTGTCACCGGCCTGACTTTGGTTCAAGTATTCGGTGCTTCTGAAATTTCACTTCTAGAAGTAACGCAAGGATCTGATGAAGGGATCCAGGACGCCGCTTCCACTAATTCTGAAGCTTACCATGGTTTTCGTCACTGAAAAGCTGTCATTTCAAGCAGCATCGATAATCCATCATGTATTGTGGGCTTGGATTATGGTAGGATCTTTGTCGGGGAGAAATACATGTCTGGTTTTCTACCTTGAAATTCCTTACCTTACAGTGTGATAAGAGATCAAGATATAATAGGGCTATCAGTATTTTACAAAAAATGTTACTAACGATGCAGACATGAAATCGTTTTTGAACGGCATTTACAGGCTGCGGCCATCTCAACTGAAATATAGATACTGTGGTTGTTCTCAACCAACCTAAGTGGTTGCTGGTAAGCTTTGTAGATATTTGTATAGGAAATCAGCAACACTGCTAGCTCTAACCTCAGGTCAGAGTGTGCAAACTAATTGGAACAGAGGTCCGGATTGGGTTAAATAATATTATTAAAACTGGGATTTCTCAGTTTTTGAAAATCTCGGGGTCACTCATGTGGCAACCACTTTTAGTTTTAGGGTATTTTACGCCTAAATATCTGTGCAGTCAAAGTATTTATTTGTCACTGTACAGTAACTTTATCATGATGCCTCTGCTCCCAGATGGATAAAGTCGGTCACAATTGACAGCCCACAGTGCATGAAATGCGCCTACCTCTGCGCCTACCAAATAATAGTAGTCACAGGCTGAAGTGTGTTTTCTGAGATACGTCACAAATTTTTAATGCCAAACAATAGCTTTCCTCAAGCGGCATTTGAGGTGAACCAAGTTTCCACATTTTAAACATAACTATTTTCTTACGTCATTTGCTTATTACCATGTAACGTATGGTATTTTTTAAACCAATGTACGTCATATTACCTGTTGCTAAAAGCTCTGACTTGAGTTGTTACAGTGGAAATGTACCTATCGTTTATTATTGCACAGCGTTAGTAGTATGTTGTTCCAACTAGCTTTGAACATCTACAATATGTATTCTAGATATTTACTTCGACGAGCACGGAACATAGTTACATGATCAAACAAACTTACCTGTAAGTAATGTTCGATCTTAATTATGTGAAGTCCTCGTCAAAGTAAATAGCTCCCTCGCTCCCTATGTATCACCCTGTTGTTGCAACATTTTGGCTTTGAAGAAACTGATGTTTATAGGCGACCAGAGGGGTGGAAGGTAGGGGGGAGGGGCGCGGCGCCGTTTTCCTTCGCTGCGTGCGCGCTTTGAAATCGTGAGGTTTGGTACAGCTACGAGGGTACTACAGTTTGTATTCCAAATATCTATTTCGACGAGGACTTCACATAATTAAGATCGAACATCACTTACAGGTGAGTTCGTTTGATCATGTAATTATAATGTGAGTACACTACGGACACTGGTGATTTCAATAGTAGGTTGGTCTTAGCAGAAGTAGAATAAAATGTTAATGCTTGTCTAGATTTAAACGACGGTACATTAGATTTGATACGCGATAAAAGATCTGGGCACTCAGTAACATCATACATCAATTTATAAAGGAGTGAGAGGGATGGCAGTGTACGTCTGAGCTCCAAACTGTCAACGTCAAAGAGGTTTAACAAAAGACTATACTCAGTTCCTTGATCTGGATATAATTATATGGTGCTTTTTAAACACTATTTATTTCAGAAAATTCCTTTGTAGTTTATCCAGTCTATCCTTGTGACACTTATAGTAGGGGTTCCAGATATTCGAACAGTACTCCAGTTTAAAACGTATACATAAGATAAAAATAGAAATTTCAATGCTGCTTCACTATCAAATGATCGAAAATTCCACTACTTTATAACCTTAGAGTATACATTTACTATCTTATAAATCAACAACCAATCATCAAAATGCAGTATATCAATAGGCTTATATTAGGTCTACCCCGGTTTGCAACAAAATATGAGACACCGGTTTGATGAAACTTAAAGATTTTGGCAAGGTTTTTAAATGGGTTGTTTTATGTTTTAGCTCATATTCGGATGGATCCAGTCAAGAGAAGAATATTAATATAACATACCATAGGGTTTTCATGATTGATTGTTAATAACCGATTCTACGTATAGAAGTACTAAGCTTTGATAGCTTGCCGGACCGCCGTTTTGAAAGCTAGTGATATTATATTTTCGAGCTGTAAAGTACTCATAAGAAGCTACAAACTGAGGTATGACAGGCCCTCCCTTCCCATTTACAAAAATTGTTGAAAAATGGCGCTCAACCGCCACCTTGGAATGCTTAACTGTAACCTGTATGTGAAAATATAGCCTCCGTATATCAGTACATCAATATTATTACACCAAGATTCAGCTTGCTAACTTGATTCGTTCAAAACATAAGTAGAGGGGGAGCGTACCTTTGTGAAAAGCACTGAATAAAACATGTGGATTTTTCTACAACTGATTGTCGATCGTTGAAGAAAGTTGGACGAATATGTCTATGCACATTTTCGCAATGCCCGACTGACAATTTGAATTTAAAAGACGAATAGGTTTTATCGGGGCTGATGCCCCGATTAAGCCTTGACGTAATTTCGTCATTGCATATACATATAACAGGTAATCTTGTGGCTGACGTAATTGCAAGTTACCATTCGTCAGCCGTCAAATGAGCTATATCTGCAAAACCGCAAAAAGCAGTCACGTGTGAAGAAACTTGTCATGTTTGGTTGTCTTAAGCGGTGCCGCCAATACTCGCGCCAACCGTCTCAGGAACCAGAAATTCTTTTTTTCGACTCAGACGATCTTGCCAATCTGCAGCCCAAGAACAGAGGTCATGACTGGTTGACCGCCAAGCTGTTGGCTGCCATCCGCCTCTCGCAGCACGGACATAGGAAAAAACTGCTTCAAACACAGAGTGACTTTTCTATAGTTCATACACACTGAATCAGCATACATGGTAGTACAAAAGATTACCCATACTGCGAATTTATAGAAGTGTTCTGGGCTATCAACTTTTTGCAGCTGTACTTCCGTAATTCTGTCATCATCTTTTGGAGCAAGCAAACAATTGTCAGTGGCAGAATATAAATGCTCTATTTATTTTATAAACAGGACACAATGAAAGCAGCTCATACGATATCAGCCGGTGACAAAAAAATCAAAAATACAAGTTACAATATAGTACTAGTCGATGAGAATGCTTCGGCCTCGCTGCTTCATCCTATTTGGGAAGTTTGTTCAAACCGATGCCGGCAATGGGAAAACCCTGTAACTCATTGTGACCTTTGTAGTTGGTAACTTTTTGGTAAAGCCAGTAGTTTAAATAAGTTTATAATGTTAAACAAGCTTTTCCTTTAACTATTGCTCAGAATTATATGCCTCCCAGTTTGGACAACCTGTATATTCCATTACGTTTCATTACGAAGTTAACGTGAAAACAAATGAACTATGTGTGTGAGTGGAGAAAATCGGATAGTAGAAGGATGTGAGATACGCTTACACGTCATTCGTCAAATTAGTCCTTCTGTTGATTTCGTTTTTGCTCAAATGGATGGTATTCATTACTCATTCAGTTGTTTTTTCTTCAGATAGATAACTAATTATTTTCAAAATTCAGTTACGCGCCAAAAGTATTGAGATGTCACGCCCTCTAGGGCTAGCCGAGAATACGCGAAGAGTTCGCTTACCGTTGTCTAGCAAGATCAACTAATTCGGACTAGGTAGAAAGAGCAAGCTTACGATTAATTTGTTTATCGACGAAACTATGTGGTCATTAGTCAGGATGCGAGTACATACTACAGGCCGATCGGGCTTGAGCCGCCAGTTTGACAGTTTTTCACATTTCACATTAAATTCGTACTTTTCTGCGAAAAAATACAAAAGTAGCAAAAAGCTGTTTAAACTGAATAAGAGCAAATCTATTTATCGACAAGTGTTATACTATAATAATCGGCGTTGCGAAAGGGCATGAACCTCAACATTGGGCTTTTACCTGGGCAGATGTGAGATAATTTTGGTTTATCTCATTGCACGTCTTGTTTCAATATTGTATACTTAGCAACAACACTGAAAACTGCAAAACATTGGAGACAACCAATTTTCTGATGGATACAGAAAAGAGCCAACCGAAACTTTTATCCAACTATAGGAAATGAACGAAATATGATAATAGAAATATAACGATAAACGTGAAAACATCTCATCTT